GCATTGGCAGTAAGGATGAGCTATTACTAGTGTTGAGACAACTAGAACAGATAATTCTCCTTGAATTAAGGAGGTTGACTAGATCTTAAATAATAGAGATAATAATAATAATAAAAACTTTGCAGTAGTTTCAACCAGAGCAGTTGATATTCCTGGAATGAGGTTTACTCCTATGTCTATGCTCCCCATCATCCAAATGCCTCTTTATTTGTTAGCTTAACAGTCATACTCTTAGGTTTGTTTTGAAGGCTTTAAAGTACAAACCACTGTTAAACAAATAGAGTATTTTTACTAATAGAGGAAGGAATATACCTCAATAGATAAGTGCATGCCCTATTTTATAAATACTTTCAGAACTCCTACGAACCTACAGATATTTTCTCGGGCCAGTTCATTTCAATTCTGTCCTGGCTGCCACATCCTTGGCAGGCACCCACCCTGTGGATGAATTATTCATCGACATTCCTCCTCCTCACATCTCATCCTTCCAACTCAACTCCTGCACACCCAAGGTCTCTAATGAGTCATTGGGAACAGGTGCTTTTGGTCTGTAGTACACAATCTAGCTCTTGATCCACCAGCCAATCGGTCATACCTCCTTCTATGAGCAGCTTGCATTGTCAGCCGTTATGGGGGGTAAATGGGCAATAAGCATCCATTCTCAGTACCCGGTGAGGAAAAGGTCTAGAACATTTGAACAAAATCGCTGGTGTGGTAGGAACCCCTCCTTAAGGAGAGAGAAAAAAAATGAAGAAGAGAGGAGAGAAGACTTCAAGGTCACCTAGATATGCGCCCAGGTGCCTACATCCCCCATGTTCTTGTAAACGGAGACAGCTTATCAGACTGCATGTTTATGTGTGTTACCACATATGGGAGATAAAGAAATAGAAAATGTATTAAAAAACTTTGCCATGTGATGTGGGCCGCTCAGTTCTTTGGGTACAAACCCTACTGAGTGGTGCTGGCACGAATAAAGTTGCTTTCTGGAAAGAAAAGCCTCGGTGTCATGACTCTCTGTGCGAGAATCCTGCAACACTAGTACAGAAGACACCCCAGAAGATACTTTCTGTTGAAATTCTGCAACTCTCGCATAGCAGCACTTTCAACAATAGCCAAACCATGGAAAGAGCCTAAATATCCATCAAGTGATGAATGGATCAAGAAGATGTGGTTTATCCATACAATGGAATATTACATGGCAATGAGAAAGAATGAAATCTGGCCATGTGTAGCAATGTGGATGGAACTTGAGGTTGTTATGCTAAATGAAATAAGTCAGGCAGAGAAGGACAGATACTGTATGTTTTCGCTCATATGTGGAACAGGAGAAACTTAACAGAGGACCATGGGGGAGGAGAAGGGGAAAAATAGTTGGGGAGAGGGAGGAGGGCAAACCGTGAGAGACTCTTGAATACTGAGAACAAACTGAGGGCTAATGGGGGTGGGGGCGAGGGGTAGGGGAGTGATGGGCATGGAGGAGGGCACTTGTGGGGATGAGCACTGGGTGTTCTATGGAAACCAACTTGACAATAAATGATAAAAGAAAAAAAAAGAAATTCTGCAACTCTCATATACCTGTTTTAATGTTTTAAAAATCAAATTTCCTAAATGAACAGACATTAGCCAGGGCATTTGTTTGTTTGTTTGCTTTTAGTCCTTGCATTTTAGAAGACACTAGTTTCCTGGGGAAACCAAAGTTATAAACGTAAACCCAACCAGTCAATAAGCAAAGTTGTAAATAACTGGTGAGTCTCAAAATCTTTAGGGATTATACTGGAGGGTAGGGAGCGGGAGAGAGAGAGAGAGAGAGAGAGAGAGAGAGAGAGAGAGAACCAGCCCATAATATTAGTGATTACAAAACCCAAGAAGATGCTGAGTCAAGATCAAAATCTGGAAGCCAAATGAAGTGAGCAAGGGCTCCTTCAGGACATTTGGTCAGCAAAAATGTTCTGCCACCTAAACTGGAGAGTGAAATAAGCCTTTTTAAATAAATGATCTTGTAACTGCAGGGCTCATAAATAGCCCAGGTGTCACCAAGAAGGAGATCTATTTCTGCATGAAAGCTAATAATGGTGAATGTTTGAAATGAATCCTCAACACATATGACTGCCTTTTAATCTCAACTTGACCTCAGTCTTAGAGAATTTCAATGGCAGGTTCATTTCTTTTTCATTCTAAGCAATGTATATATCAGTCAAGATGGCAGTTCCATATGCATTAGACACTTGTACCAATTTACAATCAATCAAAAAACAGTGGTCCTGTATATATGCTATTTCAGAAGGAAAAGGGGAAAAATCATATGTGTTCTACTCTTAACTGAAACTGGATTACATGCCAATGTGGATTTCAAAACACTTACCCTTCCCCAAGATCAAAAGATTAATCGATATTAACAATTTATTTCAATAAAATCCTTAGAACTTCACATTTAATCTTACTAGGAACTGCATTTGTAATATGTGACAGAACTTGTTGGAATCACCACCTTTAAAAGTTTAATGTAAAAAAAATTCCTAAAAGCATTCTGAGAAATTGATCCTGGCGTGTGCAATTAATGGTGTGAGATCCTAAAAGCATCAAGAAACATCACAAACTGCTTCTACAAAGGTGTAATGTCTCTAAACCAAACAGCTCAACAGGAAAAATCTCAGCTTGAAGTACTTAAATTAGATTACCTCTTGTTTCCTAAACTCCGCCATTCGACTTCATGACATTAAACATTTTTTATCACAAGCTAAATGTCTCAAATGACCAAAATTATTTGCCTAAGAGGAGCTCCAGTTTCTGTCTTTCTATTCTGATTTAGTCAGGTTTATTTTTCGCTCTAAGGTGCCCTGGGGTTTCTTATTAGAACCTAAGTGTATATATACGTTATTACATTTTTAGATATACCAAATGGCTTCAAAACCAAGGACGTAAGAACACGCATCTGAGTAGTATGAAGGAGGTGCCAAGGGATTCATTTAAAAAGTGGCAATGATCAAAAAAAGGACCACCGAAAATAACAGTGTGGTCTCAGCTTGTCGGGCAGCCCAGGTCATTCTTCGAGAATGAAGAACTTATTTTCTCAGCTGCAGGCAACCCTTGTTCATCTCAAGCTTCCAGAATTACATCATTAGAAGACCTCTGCCTCCCTCAAGGGCACAGCCACTCCCCAAGGCAGCCAGGGTCAGGTGACTTATCAAAGGAAGCTTTTACTGACCCAACTCTTTCACCCCAGATGAGACATCTCAGAAGGGCCATGCTATCTTCAGAATAGCTGTGGCTTTTGTTGATAATACCTCTCAGCTCAACTTCCCTCTCTATCCAGTTGTTTCCTTCCTTTGTCTTTCACAGGTGTTGATTCCAAGAGCTCTCCCTAATAAATGTCTGTCCCCTAATCTCCATCTTGAAGTCTGTCTTCTGGGGAGCCCAACCTACACATATGCCAGGTGAAAAGTTTGAGCAATTGACACGCATTGGTATTCTGTGAGGTAGATACTATTATTGTCTGCCTTCTGCAGAGGAGAAGACCAAAGCACAAAGAGGTTAATTACTTGTCGTTACTTGTTAATTCCTTGAGTTACTTGTCAAAGGTTACATCAATTTTGAGTGGCAGAGACAGGATTTAAGCTTCAACCATCTAACCCTAGAGTTCACAATGTTAGCAACTATTCTCATTACACTGGACAGCTCATTTAGAAAAACCCATTTACCAGACAACATGAAATGAAATGAATGATACAAACAGCTGAGTATTAAGATTGTAAATCAACTTTGATTTTCTAAATTCTGATTCTTGTTGGGATGAGCCCTGGGTGTTATATGTAAACCGACTTGACAATAAACTATAATAATTTTTTTAAAAAAATAAATACTGATTCAAGGAATAGCAAGTATCAATGTCAAGTATATATCTATCTTCATATGACTCCAAACTGAAAAAAAAAAACCACATTCAGCATATTTATTTACTACTTTTTAAAAACATTTTTAAGTGTTTATTTTTTTTTGAGAGAGACAGACAGACAGAGTGCAAGCAGAGGAGGAGCAGAGGGAGGGAGACACAGAATCTGAAGCAGGCTTCAGGATCAGAGCTGTTAGCACAGAGCCCGATGTGGGGCTCAAACTCATGAACCATGAGATTATGACCTGAGCTGCAGTCAGATGTTTAACCCACTAAGCCACCCAGATGCCCCATACTTACCTAGAACTTCTAAGTAAATCACATAGTGTACCAGATGTCCATTCCATTTCTATAACTACAACAATCTAGTCTACTATTTGCAGAAGGTTTTTAGTAGCTACCCAGGACAGATACAAAGTAATATTACTTTTTTGTGTGGGGACAGTTAATCAGAGCAAAGGAAAAGAAAAGACTATTGTATTTTCCTTCAAATATTTGTTTTAACTCTATCCTCTACACATGAATGTCCCTGCTATTTCTGCCTCAAATTTTTTCCTAGAGCCTACATAAAATTTTCTTTTACTTTTTTCTTCTTTTGGGGATACCTAGATCTGTGACATTTTCTCATTGTAACTATTCATATAATGAGGAATGATGCTCTTCTCACCAAATAGATGGCAAATAAATAGAAAGATTTATTTCTATAGATTCCTTTCAACATTTTGTTCTTCCTTATCATGTCTGGATAATGGAGCTCTCTGGTAGATGGTTTCCAAATGCCACTCTTATTCCTGAGGAGTAGCTTATAAACAGCAGAACTGCCTAATTCTGGTATTTCAAATAAACATCTTCTTTAAACATAATTTCTTTAACCATTTTCTTATTTAATAAACAGTTACTTTTCAGAGGAACAAATGTAAATGGATGTATACATTCTGAAAAGGGCATACATGGAATAAAACAGAGTGGTGCCATATTTGATTATGTTGGAAATAGAGGTGCTTAAAGAGAATTGGATAGATTTGCTCACTGCTTCATTTCCCCATATAAACAAAATCCAAATGGTTTTCTACAAGTTTGTGACTTGTGAGTGTAGTAAGTGGCCTCATACCTTCATCTTTACAGACTTCAGTGGCCTCTTCTGAAGCAGGGCTGGACGCCGTTGTGACATTGACACCGTCTACACAGCAAGAAAGAGAAACATCGCCTCAGAATCCATGTTTAACTCCATCTGTCAAGATGGAGTTTCCCTGCCTGTGGCACCTCCCTCCTCACTCCATCAAGCAAGAGCCTGTTTCATGCTCTAATACACAGAATGGTCTTTGAAGGGGTTAGCATCTATGACCCTGTTTTACAGCTAATGGAACAGGAATCTTCAGATAAAACAGAGCCCATGACTACAAACTACTTTTCAGTAAAGTATACTATCTGTTGGTACTATTATACTTCAGCATTTTGCTTTTTCCCCACTTCTGGAAGAATGGTATATATTAAAATATTTTTTAAATGTTTATTTATTTTTGAGAGACAGATTTTACAGAACATGAGCAGGAGAGGGGCAGAGAGAGAGGGATACCCAGAATCCAAAGCAAGTTTCAGGATCTGAGCTGTCAGCACAGAGACCAACATGGGACTTGAACCCATGAGCCAGGAGATCCTGACCTGAGCTGAAGTCAGATGCTTAACCTACTGAGTAACTCAGGTGCCCCACATTTTTCTTTCTTTCTTTTCTTTTTCTTTTTCTTTTTTTTTTTTTTTTTTTGTAGTAAAGATTGTGAAAGTATATCCTCACAAGTTTCCACAAGGTGCTTTTATGTGAGTGTTTTTAAAGTTTGGTTTTTCTTAGCACAGCATTTCTGCTCCATTACACCAGGCAGTCAAATGCCAGGGAGCATTTCTGATGGCTGTCAGCACACAGGCCCAGGAGAAGGGGACCATTTGTAGGAAAGCACCAAAAGCCATTTGGAGATTTCATGTCACCCAAGCACAGGGTGGGAACTAAGGAACTTGGAGGGTCCTGTTCCTGTCAGAGCAGCAATTAAAATCATCAGAGTTGATCTTTCTTCTCAGTACCATAAACACCAAAGCGACTCCACACACAACTGGCTTCCAGGATAATAGATAATTAACTTAATAACATTAAAATAGTAAATTTCATATATGAAGGATTGTCAAAATTGTTTGGAATGGATAATATCTGACAATTGAAAAAAGGAATTGAAAAGGAACATACATTGTTCATGTAGTAACAGTTTTGGAACTAAAGATAACACACATGCATGCCAATTAATGCTTAAAGACAAATCACATATTTTCTAGCATATCTTATGTCCTTAACATATATGACTGTTACTTTCAGGTCATGTCTCCATTGGAAGAGAGAATAAAATTTTTAGTAGGGGAATAATTGGAGGTGATAAATCACTTTCTTGTGTTAGGTGACAATCTCTGATGTAAAAAACAGCAACAACAACAACAACAACAACAACAAACAAGACTATTAACCTTCCCTTGGTGTTACATCTTCCCATTTCACAGCAAAACTCCCTAAAAGAGCTATCTATGTTATTGTTTTACACTTCCTCACTTCACAGTCTCCATAAACCACTCCATTGGCTTCAATACCCCTCCAAGAATTCTATTATCAAAAGTGTCAGTGACTTCCTTTTGCTAAAACCAATGGTCATTTCCTTCTTTCTTTCTTTCTTTCTCTCTCTTTCTTCCTTCCTTCCTTCCTTCCTTCCTTCCTTCCTTCCTTCCTTCCTTCCTTCCTTTTCATCTTACTTGATTTCTCATTAGTATTTCACAAAGTCTTAGCTGTTTTCTTTCTGAAACACTGTCTTCTTCTCAAGCCCAGAGATTAATTTTATGAATATTGTTCTAAATTCTTGTTTAGTTATGTTGCTTGTATCTGTTTTGAGCAGTTCTTTAGCTGTCATTTCTTCCTGGAATTTCTTTGGAGGAGAGTTCTTCTGTTTCATCATTTTGGTTAGCTTTCTATCTCTTGTTAATTTTAAAAGCTTGTTATACACTCTGCCCCTGCGGGTTCTGCTGTATTAAAGAGGGCTCTTTGACTGTCCAGGGCCTGTCTGTTCAGGAAATGTTCTTTTGAATGGTGTCTCTTGGTTTCTCTAGTTGAGACTTTGGTTATTTTGTTTTGCTACTGGTAGTGGTATTTGGGACTCTCCACCATGTGTACTTTGGCTTGTTTCTTGAGGTAGCTGCACTTATGAGGTTTCCTTCCCAGTGCATTCTGTCTTTTTCTCTTCCCAAACTCCTGTGGCTTAGTGTTCTATGACTTCAGGCCTTCTCTGTTTGAGAGATGGGTGCAAGCGAAATGCATGGAGCTCCCTACTTCTCTGCCATCTTGCTGGCACTCCTTCCTGTATCAACACTGTCTTCTACCCTGTCGCCACCTATCCAGATGTCATGGTGTCTCAAGCTCCATTGTTTTCTTTATCTACATGTTGTTTCTAATGATTCTCACCCAGAACCATGGATTTAAATCTCATTTGCATGCCAGTGAATCTCAAACCTGTATCTAGGTCCACATCTCTCCAGATTCATATATCTAACTATCTTCTTGACATCCTATCATAAGGCTAAGAGTTCTCTCGAATATACCATGGACAAAACTGAACTATGAACTTACTCAACAAAAACTGTGCCTGGTGGCCAGTCTTCCATGTACCAATAAATGGCACTGTCATCCATAAAGTTACTGATGCTAAAAACCTAGGACTTATCCTGGTTTCCTCTTTCCCCCATACTCCATATCCCAATCCATCAGCACATCCTGTTATAGCTATGTCTACAACATAACACATCAGTCCATTTTGTCTCCATTTCCAGAAGCTACCATCATTTCTTCCTGCTATAGCCTTCTAACTGGTCTCACTCGGTTCTTGTGACCCACTTTTACTCACAGGCAATGTGAGCTCATTAAAACTTTAAAACTTCCACTGGCATCTCTTTGTAGTTCTAATAAAATAAAATCTTATACAGTCAGACAGTATCTGTTCCCATGATTTTTTTAACCAAATCTTAAACCACGTTCCTCTTAATGCACCAGGCTCCAACCACTCTGACTTTTCTCCAACAGGCTAAAATTGGCCTTGAGGCATTTGCATTATCTGGTCCCTCCATCTAAATGCTCTCCCATCAATCAACTCCTTATTGAGATTTCATTTAATTTCCCTTCCTCAGGGAGTCCTTCCCAAATCCAGCTAATGGAAAGTTGCCTTCTCAGTATTCCTTCTCCCTACCTCGCTTCTCTATAAGATATTTTTTACTATTTTATATTTTTTGGTTTGTTTATTGTTTATTTCTCTCCTCCCTTTTCATCAGAATATAAGCTTCAAGGAGGCAGGGGTATTGCCTTTATGGTTTACTGCTGTATTCCAGTGCCCAGAACAGTACCTTGGTCACAGAAAACCCTTGGATTTGATCATGACAGCAGTCAAAACCATGCTGGTTTGAGATTGTGTGTTTTTCATGATGTGAAGAAGGCCTGTAGAATCACACAGTCAAAACTGAAGCTGGAAATCCTAGTGAGTGTAAAGGAGGTATTTATATTTTGGTAGAACAACAGTAGGTCAAAAGGGCTTTAATGGCCAGGACCTCATCTTTGATTTTTCTGCGCTTAGATTAGGGAGGCTATGAAATGAGCCAGAGCAAATATAACCTTGTGTATTGACAACAGCCAAGATCATAGATGAATTGTACCATTAGATTTGTGCCAGCCAGTGGGCTCACTTGGAAGAGCAAGAGGTACAATTAGAACTATTCTTTACACTGAGAGGTAAGCATTTTGTGATGATGATGCTATCAATCCAAGAGGTGGGGAAGAGGACTCACACCTTACCACTCTCTGCTGACAGGCGGTCCCAATTCCAAAAAGAAATCATCTGTTCTCAACTTACTGCCTATAAAGAACGAATAAATAAAACGCAGGCAGATGTGTCTGTCTGTGCGTGTGCACGCGTGTTTGTGCATGGGTATGTGTGTGCATGTCTATCAACAGGGGTGGGAAAAGTCTATGTCGATAAAGATAGCTTGGGACAGAACAGTTAGCGAATAAAACCTGCGAAGTCTCACCCGTCAGAGAATGGCCTCAGCTGTCAGCAGTTACTTGACTAACACTGTCAGCCGCAAACAGTGAAAACAGTGACAGCTTCTCACATAAGACTCTTCTTGCACAGAGCATAACTATGTGTGGGTCGGGGGCTGGGGTGGGGGGCAGAGGATGACAACAGTGTGCTGTATCAGAAATTCATTTAATTGCAAGGACTATGTCTCAGCCAAGGGAGCCAGCTGACCCCGTGGCAGCTACAGAAGGTCCCTCCTGCTCTGCTTCAGTGCTTTCTCTGATTGGCCTTCTTCAATTCCATCTTCCAGGTTAATAATAAAAGATTCCAGTTCTCTAGCAAACGTTCCAAGGTTAATGTAGGGAGTTTTCAGTGAAAAACTTATCATACCACCTGGTTGATTTCCAAGAGTTCATCATATGGCCTAGGATGTGCTGGGCACACGTTAGATGGAGCCTGCTGTTTCCCAAGTGCCCCTCTGTGGGGACTCATTAGGACCTGGAGACTAAAGGGAAGAAGGATATCTTTATGTTGGTGGTGGTGTTGATAACGGCACAATTGTGCCTATCAGTCTTTTAAAGGAGAATGTGCCTGAGTACAAAAATGGGTAGGAAGAGATGAGAAGTTCAAGGTGGTGACAGTCTCTCTTGACTCTTAAGTGCTACTTCACTTAAAGATGTTCAATTTATAATCTGTAGCACAGGATCTGTAAACATCCAACTGACACACATCTGTTCTCAGGGAACAGAGGAGATGTCAGGAAGGCTTCAGATCACACTTTAGGTCTGGGTGTGGGGTAATCGAGTTCCATGGCACCATCTCCTATAACATGTAAAGAAACAACCAGAAACACGGCTCTTCAAAGCGTATTGTAAAACAGTAAAGAACATTCTTACTCCTCTTGGAGGGAAAGCTTCTTATTTATTTCCTTCAAAATTTGCGATTTTATGTTTCTTGCCAAATGAAACCTGCTAATTTTGACCTGTCTGAAGGCATCCAAGCCCTGAGTTGGCACTTGCAGCCTCTTAGAGCAATTCTGAGCAAAGTGTTGTTATGCAGAAAGAAAAATTGAATCCATGAATGAGGAATGAGAATGGACCCTTCTGACTGGAAATACTGTCACTCGTAGTTAGTGGGATTGGTGGCTTCCTGACAGAGACCTAAATGGACACCGAAGTCAATTTGGTGACAAGTTATAGGCATATCTAGAATATAGCATTTGAGTAAAGAGTAAAGTTATTGTTCACCTCTGTGGATGAGGCCTAGGACACTCCTCAAAATAAATCTGAGCCCACCTGCTTCTTGGCTCTGCCCTTCTGTTTCTTCTGTGCTTGGTTTTTCCTCTGGACTGTTCTCATCTTTCAAGAAAACCATGGAGGGAAAAAAAATACATCAAGTCAATTTATGAAATATCTTTTTATGGCTAATATGCGGCACTGAAATTAATTGCAACCAATGTAGCATGACTCCCTAAGCAAGGCAGAGAGATGAATCAGAGGCATGAAACAGAAAAAATTACCTACATAAATAGGTGCATTTATACTCGTCCCTTCTCACCTGATTTGCCTGATGAAATGTTGAACTACAGTAAACAAAATTCACTCAGCACTCCTACAACATTTCTCTCTTTGTGCAGCATTTCCCAAAATGCAATACAAGATCTTAATTTGAATCTGTTTTTCTCCCTTGACTCAAGCAATATGCACTGTGTAAGGAAACTTGGTTGATTAAGTTTTTTATGACTTTTATTTTCCTGTTTGATATATGTTGCAAAAAAAATCTACTTTTAGCTAACTTACACATGGCAGTCTAACATATCCATGCTATGAAATATTTCATCTTGAACAGATTATGTTGGTCAAGTTTACACCATAGTTCATAACTCCTTGAAAAATAAATAACCGGGCAGGTGCAGTGTAGCTGAATACTAGAAACTAGTCAAAAATTTCTTTTGGCTTAAAATGTATAATATATATCTGAGGATTTATGTGTAGAAGAAAATTCAAAGGCAAATAAAGGCATGATTTTATAACTCATTGCTGGGAGGGTTTCCAAATCTCTTCTTGTTTGGAAATTTTTAGAAAAGAAAGATTTATATAAAGATATGGGAACGCAATATAAAGCATGGAAATAGACTACAGAAAACAGAGAAGCAGAAGTTACTAGCATATATAACCATGGGTGAAAGATGGCTACAGGTGCTTTGTCTCTCAAGAAGTGGACTCTGTCTCTCCTCTCCTTGAGTCTGCTTGTTTAGATCAATGAAATGTGGAGGTGATGCTCTGGGGCCTCCAAGAGCCACCATGTTGTAAAGATGCTCAGGCTTGCCTACCAAATGGAGAGAGGCACACGGAGAGAAAGAAGGGCCCCATGGCAAAGCTCTGAGGGGCCAGACAGATGGGTGAATCTTTCTGCACCTTCCAGCCCAGCCCAGATGCCCACTGCATGCAGTCAGATGACCTCAGCCAATGCCATGAGGAGATGAAGAGTTACCCAGCTGAGCCCTTTTAAAATTCCTGACCTATAACCAGGTTCAGGTCATTTAACCTTGCTTGAGTGCTTTGCCCCACCATCTGTTACTACTACCAGCTCTTAATCCAGAGGCAGGAAGATGGGGAATCCTTCTCAGAGGACTCCAGTAGGGGCACTAACACAAGAGGCTTTGAAGCAATGGGGAAACATTTCACAGAGCAGGTCTGAAAAATAACCTATGGAAGAGAGTTGTAGATGGGAAAACATTTGGAATTGACTTAAATGAAAGAAAAAGTTTATAACAGGATGGCAAAATTACATACAGACATGCGTGCATACATGAATAAGTGGCATTCTGAAGTGGGGAAAGAATGCTACTAATGAATACGTAAGTATGTATTCAATTCCCTCTGTCCAACATCAGCTATTTGTCCTTGGGGACACGGTATCACTTGTAACACGAGAACCTGGGACAACTCTGTAGCTACCTAAATCCAATGTTTTAAATGGCATATTTACAGTACCACATAATGGTCTGACATCTGCTCTTCTCTAGTTCTCCAAGTAGGAGATGACATTGGCTTTTGCTCTAGGAAGGAAATAGCCACCATTGCTTCTCTTGGTCCCTTAATAAGGCTACGCTGGTGCTATAGCATGTGTCAAAAACATAGGTCAGTATTTTCCCCGTTCCTCCCCCAAAATGGAGTCGGAGTCAAGCAGGAGAAGTCTGCCAGCCTTTCTGTCTCTGCTAGCAGACAGTCCTTTTAACAGAGATTTTACAATAGGCTTGAAGCCGGCAGTGACAGGCTGCCTTTAAAATTAGTCCAGTTACCACATCTCCTATAGAGTAAAAAGCTTTCTGGTGGAGGGAGGAAGATAAGAAAGGAAAAAGAAACAATTAAAGTCACAGGAAGGCGAGGAATTTGTTCCAGCCATTCAAAATGCATGTGAAGGAAATTTATGGTCGGACTCCCGAGTCCAGCTTTATAACAGTAAATACCAGTCTGGTTGTTTTCCTGAGTATACCGCCACTGGGTTTTTACCCGTGTGCATATGCACGCTGTCTCTCATCCTAACGCAGCCACCACAGAGGCATGCTTTTGTTTCCTACTTTGAGCCTCGCTTGCCATATTTCTGCCCTTGGGAAGCAAACTCAAGAAACACTTGGCATGTTTATTACGGAGGAAGTGCGTTCTAGAAGAAAGCTGGATTTACCATCCGAGTAATGTGCCCTCAAATGACAAGGTTTAGGTACATCGCTTTCACCAATCTCCAGACAGTGCACCCTCAAATCCAGCAGGGGGAACCAGTGTAGAAGTCTTACATTCTCCCGCAATTAGATTAACATTCCTTTCATTCTTTCAGAAGGACATTTTGGCTGGCTTATAGCTTTCCATCCATTTAAAATGCCTCAAATGAGTGAGATCTTAGTGAAACAATGGTCTTCCACTGGTAAGGGAAAAAAATCCCCTTACACTGTTACCTGTAAGTATTCGATAAGGACAAGCTTTCCTTTTATCAGCCTTGTCTATCTAGCAATCTTCACAGGAAGGCCATAAACAATAAAAAGTTAAGTAGAGTGGTGAATATAAACTTGTGGTTTTTAGAAGGGATTTGAAAGGCTTACAATAAATGTGAAGAAATATAAGGAAGTGACAGGCTATTTTGTTAGCTTAAAAAATGTCACGCAGAAGCTAAATTCGCTTAGTTAGTCTGCCTTTAAGACCACATATTTATTTCAGATAATAAATTGCCATAGCATTCATGGTGGGAGTCACGTAACACTTTATCTTCTCAGGCCAGAAGGCACAGTAACCTTTGAGAATTCTAGCCATTGCATAATTTCCGTGTCTCCAGTATTAGTATCCTGCCCCTCACTCTTTCAACCTATATTTATTGAGCATGTACTATAAACAAGCATATTTCAGGAGTTTTAGAGAAATAAAAATAAGAGGCCCCTGCTGCAAACTGAATTCATGTAAGCAGAAGGAATGTATCACTGGTTGGGTGATGACAAGAATGTAATCCATGTTTATTTCTCCATGAGAGACATTTACAAGGGCAAAATTTCGATGTCATGGTCACAGATCGCTATCCTGATTATGTGTAGTTCTTTTTGTGAACTGTGCATGGGAATGGGAAGAGAAAGGGGGAGTAAACCAGAGCAAATCCATCCCTGCTACTGGGAAAACAACCTATGTGCACTGCCTGCTCGTGTATTATTACTCTTTCTTATAAAGGTGCCAAGATTCCCAGACACAGAGCACATGCAGTTGAAATACAGTGGTTTGCAGATTAGATTATTTGTCTCCATCTCTCAGTCCCTTGTAATGGATTATACAGTTTAGTATTTTCCCACTGTGGGCAGAGCAGACTTCCCAACATGCTGATGTTGGATTTGACCACGTTACTTGATTTGGCTAATGAAATATTTGTGGACACAATGTGAGCCAAAAGCTTAGCTGTGCCGCATAATTGGACTTGGTGCCTGTGCTCCTGACATTTGCCATGATGGTCCTATATCTACCCAAGCCCAGACAAGTCACAGCTTGAAATGGAAATGCCCAGCTGGCCCCAGCCCACATCAGGTGAATGAGAGAAACTCTGAAACCTGTGAGCATGAGAATAAATAGTCTTGTAAGGCACTGCATTGGGGGTTATTTGTTACATAGTATTATTGTGACAGTAGCTGGCTAATACAAATGGTATACTCATTTTTCTCAGGTCAGGATGGCTCAGCTTCTTTTTTCTTTTCTTTTTTTAAATTAGCACCCTTTTATTTATAAAGAATGCAGTCTTTAATTTTGTATTTTGCCACCCAGCTACATTCTCATCTCTCACATTTCAAAATTCTGTAGAACGTACACATGTGAAAAATAACTTTAGCTTATATAAGGGAGCTGAATGATCTAAAAACTATGTACTGCCATCGATTATAGTTGTTTTATTTAATACAGCTATGTGAGTATTGGGATAGTACTAGTTAATACCAGCTAATTATTGAATATTGGCTCTGTTCTGCTCAGTGTTCACATTGGCCATCAGACTTAATTCTCATAGCAACCCAGTGACTTTGGTATTATTATTATTATTATCCACATTTCATGGATGAGAAAACTGAGGCACAGAGATGTTAAGTAATTTTCCTAAGAGCCTACAGGTAGCAAGTGGTGGGAACAGGGTTTTGACCTGATCAGCTCATGCCAGAGCCCACAATTCCCTCCTTGGAAACATAACTAATATTTGTTGTGTGGGTAAGATAAATTATGGGTCAGCAAAAATGTAAAAAATTATACTTAATAATAATAATAGTAATAATAGCTAAAGAGCTAAACTATAATGTCATGCAGATTAACACAGAACACTAAGAACATTGAGAATTGAGCTTCTCTGACATTTAAGTCAGGTGAGCATAATACTATAACCCTAAACTTTTTTTTATGCTAAAGGTATTTTTATTTTGAAATAATTTTAAGCAATAGAAAGTTACAAGAGCAGTACAAAGTATTTTCTTTTTTTTTTTAAATCCCTGAATCTATCATGAGTAGCAAACATAATCACTTCCATCAGCCCTGCATACTTTAGTATATATTTTGTACAAACAAGGACATTTTCCTCCAAAACCACAATGCAGCCATCAAGATCAGATTAGTCCTGCTGACATTCCTGCTATCTAAGCCACAGACCACATTCAAGTTTTGCCAATTTTCTAATAATATGTTTCATATTTTTCTAGGATCACACACAGCATTTCGTTGTCATGTCTGTTTAGTCCTACAGCCTAAGATGGAGATGCCCTCTTGACCTTGCCTGAGCTCTGTGCCAGGTGTTTGCCACTTCACCCCTACCTTCAATGTGAATGTCTATCTTGCTCAGTCCTACTTAA